ACTCTGGTTTGTTGAATAGCAACTGGGATCTTAAAATCATGTGAGTGGCCATCTAATATAAAACTGTTGGTCACTACTGGTCTGGAGCAAAAAAGAATGAAGAAAAACCAAAGACACAAAAAAGAATCTAATCCACAAAACTAATAGCCCACATCCTGATAGCATAGTGTCTAAGGCACTTGACCGCTAATCAGAACGCTGGTGGTTCAAACCACCAGCCACTCCTCAGAAGGAAGGTTGGGCAATCTACTTCCTTAGTGATACTGCCTCAGAAACCCAAGGAGGGGTTGCTATGAGTGGGTCTGGCTCCACGGCACATAACAACAAAAACAACAGCCCACATTAACCAAGGTCTCTTCTAACCTGAGACCATAAGAACTATGAGGTGCTGGGCTACCACTACCAACCATTCTGGTCAGGGCCACAATAGAAGGGCCCAGATGGAACGGAAGAATAATGTAGAACAAAATTGAAGTACCCCTCCCCCCACCAAAAAAAAAAAAGAAGAAAAAGAAAAAAACCAGACCTACCCAATAGAGAGAAACTAGAGGAACCGCTGAGGCTATTGTTCTAAGATACTCTTTGAACTTGGCACTGATGCACTGACACTAGTCCTGAGCATCATCTTTTAGGCAAATAATAGATTGGCTTATAAAACAAACAATATCATCTGTGAGTAATGTGATCCTTTAAACAATCAACTATATAAGACCAAACAGTCAATGTTTACCCAAAGGTAACAATGAGAAGGCAAGCAGGGGAAGGGAAATTAGATCAATGGAAACAGAACAAACAGAAAGGAAACAATGAGAATGCTGACACATTGTGAAACCATAACCAATGTCATGGAACAATTTGTATTTAAAAAAAAATGTTAAATAGGAAACTAAACTTTCACCTAAAGCACAATAAAATAGTACAAAAAGAAAAAAAAAAACAGTGGTGAGGTTTAAATTTCATAGTCATCAAGTAGATTTCACCTTAAAGTAGGAGGTATGAAGTTAATGACAAAACTGAAAGGTGTAGTATGTTTTGAGGTCTGCTACGTTAAGTATCCTCATGCACTGACAAACCTCATACAACATGTTATCTTTAAGGCAGAATTAACCCTTATTTATTCATGTCACTGGGAGATTTAAAAAAAAAAATCAGTCACAATAACCAAAGGAATTAGTGGCAGACCAGAAAATGCCAGACAAGCAGACAGTGCTAAAAATTTTTCCATGTGTGCCAAGAGAAACTTCCTATGAGTGAGTTTCTAAGAATCTGTTTCAAGACCTCTTGAGGCATGTGACAGGACGTCACACTCAGATGGATATCTTCACCCTCTGACTGTTATTACTGAGGTCTTCATTTAATCCCTTTAGCATCTTGCTGAAACGACCTTTATAAACAGAAGTTTGGGAATGGATCAACACCAATACTGTCAAATATCTAAGTCAACCATTTAAATCCCTCATTCGATTTACACCTCCTGAGTCTGCAAGTTTCCCCTATGTTCCCATATCTTACAAAAGGAGTTTCAAAGCTCTTATAGTTCCCCCCCACACACACACACACACACTGCTCAGTATTTAAAAGTGGAATCCGAAGGTCTTTTCTAGGCAAAGTAGAGATGAAAAACAAGTTATTCTCCTTAAGAAATAATCTCCACATCCTCTGTTTTCTCTCTTTGCATCCAAGTAAATATCAGAAAATGTAAATTTCCTTCTAATTCCTCCTTTTTTGTAAAAATAAGACACATCAATATATTCGACACAAGTATTTCACTTCTCCCTTCATGATACTTGCATGTTATCATTAAAAAAAAAAAAGTTTGGATCCTATCAATTGAATTTGTGTAATCATATCTTTATACTATTGATGTCATGGAAACCTTAAAAATTATTCATTTCTGAAAGAAATGGTGTGAAATGTATTTCTTTGTCTTAGAACTGGAAATGAATATCAACATGAATGCAAGAGAAAGCTGAATCCAGAAGTCTGTGATTAGGTCAGCTGAACTAAAGTTTACTTGTGTATGAAAATACAGTCTTAGAAGATGAGGAAGGAAAAGTGGAACATATTTAGAATCATCGAATATATGCCAATAATCACAACGTGTCACATTACATTACAGCAGATCAAGGGAGATTTTTACTGAAAACACTGTTAATAGTTACTCTAAATTTGTTTGGAGATGATGGAATCTTCTTTTTCTTGGCTTTTCATTAAGTCAAAATGGAATTCCTCCACTTAGTTTTTAAGTTAGGGTTCGGAATACAGAGAATGTTTTCCTGCCTGAAATTCAAAACTGATGCTCATTGGCCATATTCTCCGTGTAGTCAATATCCTCACTTCGCTTCATCAAGACTTTTTGAAATTGTTTAAGATATTGAGAAATAGAAACAGAGCACTGTTAAGCAACTAGAACCAGAAGTCTTTGTCCGTTGTCCTCGCTGCTTCAGCAAGCCTTTAAGAAAATAACATTTTGCTGGGCCTTGTTGGATTCGGAGACGTTCTCGTTATTTTCTCCTTAAATTGTGGAAAAAATCAAGGTTCTTCTAGTACGATGGGCAAAGTAAATAAAAAGTGTCAGTGTGAGCTGGGATAGTGGCTGGCTAGTGGGGAGGTGAGCGCAGACCAGAGCCGAGCTTCCGGGCATTGGGGAAAGCTGGGATCCGCTGCTTACCACTGTCCGCAGCTTTTCCCGCGCAGTATTGCGCGCCGCCTGCCAAGACTGAGCGGGCTGAGTGTGGAGCGCGCTAGGCAATTGACCCTCTCTCCTAGGGATGTCCTAGGAGAGAGAGAGCCAAATCTGAATTTCTGTGTCCCACGAAGGACAGCGAGCCCTGCCTGACCTGCGGAAACAGCGCCCACCAGGTGCGGTGGCTCTGTGGGCACCTCCGTCCCTGTCGGGGCTTCAGATCCCAGCCCTGGGATACGCCAGCCCCGGACCTCAAGGATCCAGCGCGGGGCGGGGCCGAGAGACCCCTCCTCCCCCGCAGCGAGGGTGCGCGGCTCGCGGAAGCTAGACTTGGCCTGCGCGCCCTGCCGCACGGAAAAGGCCGAATTTTCTTGGGTGACGGTCCACTCTTTTGCCCTTAGAGGAAATGTAATCTGATGGGCGTTACCCTCCTGTGACACTCCCGGGCAAGTGAGTTGGAAGGTGGCGGGGATGTTCTTCACCTGTGCGCTTGGAGAGTCTCGAGCTGCCAAAGCCGGCAGCACTCAGCTACCGGGCAATACAATTTCTAAAAAGCCTCTTGCCTACAACTGGGCTGTGTGCTGGGGGGCGGGGAAGGTGTTTATATTTTTATTTTTCATTAAAATAGATTCCAGTCAAAACAAAAGGAAAGTCCCCAATCGTTCAGGACCGTCCACCATTTACTAACCGAGTTGGAGACTCAAAGCCATTTATAAATCTGGCAAAGCCAAAACTTTAACCTCGAAATGGTTTGGCTTCAAATATCCACGTATTGAAGGCAAATATAACTTGAACGGTGCATTTATTCGCACCTTGTCATTTATAGCCTGAGAATGGATGTCGAACTTTTTGTTGGATTGAAACTGGAGAATAAATAACAGGGGTCCACTTGCGTCTGTAATCCTGGCTGCCTTTTCTGGAGTCTGGGTTCTCAAAGTTCCCAACTTCTGCCCCTGTCCCCGAAATCTGGCCTCCATTCTCCCCGCACCGCCCCTTCCGCAACCTGACCCAGCAGTGGAGAGCCTCGGCGGCGTTCATTCTTAAACTTGCCGGATAGAGCGGGTCTCCACTCTCTCGCTCGCTCCTCGGGGAGCTTGGGGGAGGCTTGGCAAGGGGAGAAAGTGTCACCGGAAGCCGGTCGGAAGAGCCCTCTGGGCCAAAGAGAGAGCGCAAGGCTTTTTCACGTTTGGAGTGCATCCTTTTTCACCGAAGATGAACAGAGGAAATCGCTGTTGCTGTGTTACTGGTTGAAGAGGCAGCACAGCCCTCCCTGAACTCCACTGCAGTTCCTAGGATAACTCCTCTTGAAACGTAGAAGTCCTTGTCCCAAAACGTTACAGTAACTTGAAAGGACGCCGGCCTCTCGGACTCCTCGAAAGCAGCTCGCACCCGGAGGAGCCAGAGGCCTGACGTGAGCCAGGCAAACCGAACCCGGTCCGGTCGTGGAAATCAAAGAGGAAGGGGGGTAGGGATCGGACTGTAGCTGCGGCAGAAAGGAAAGCCCTACGGAGCTGGATTGAAGTGTGGGGAGCAGGCGGCGGGAGGACCCGGTCCGAAGAGGCGCAAGGAGGTGGGGCAGGGCAGCGGTGGCGGACTTCAGCCACTGCTATTTCCCGCAGAGGGAGCTCCTTCGCGCCGAGGAGGAGTTCCCAGACTCCGGGGACATCCGGTCTGCCACGATCCGGATCCCCTGGGAAATTCGTAGGGACCGTGCCGTGCCTCCTTGCACTTCCTCAGGAGCCAAGAGCAGAGACTCTACCCCTACCTCTCCACCCGGAGCGCACACACTCACTCTCCAAAGTGCGGCCGAGACTCGCCCACCAGACCCTCTCCCCACACAATTTCTCTTTCTCTCCAGCTTTAAGAGCCCCATTTCCGTCCCCTTCCCACTCCACACACCTTTTTTCTCCCCTCCTTCTGTTTTAGTGTGGGAAAGCTCTACCCCTCGCACTGCGAGGCCTCAGGCCCCACGCTGGAGACCGCACAGTCCGCGGTCCTCTCAGCCACAGGCGCACCACTGGCTAGCCCCGGAAAACACACTGGCTGCCCCACTGGCCCGCGAGCCTCGCTCCTCATTGGCCCCTAGTCTCCCCCCATCGTCCCCCCTCCTCCACGGCCCCTGAGTGGCGTCAGCACGCCCGCCGGGCGTGGGGTTTAAATGCCCACTAGCCGGAGCCCGGGCGTGTCTGTTCCGTAGCACGGTCGGAGCCAGAATCGCAGGCGTGGGATCTGAGAGAGCGAGCTAGCGGGATCCCGAGCCGCGGAACGCGCTGCCTCTAGCTCCGCCACCGATGACTCCGGAGCACGGCCCCAGGCGCAGCCCATGCAGCATCCAGGCGCTCCGCCAAACAAGCGTTGATGATAATACATCTAATCGTCTCCGCTGCGGGGAGCCATGAGCTGTCTGGATGTTATGTACCAAGTATATGGTCCTCCGCAGCCTTACTTCGCAGCCGCCTACACCCCTTACCACCAGGTACGTGTCTCTTCTGAGCGTGGGCCTCGGAGACGGGTGGCGCGTCCCAGCGTCCCCGAGCATCGCCTGGACCCCGAGGTCGGCAGCGCCTCCGCGCGCGCTCCGGGCGTCAGACCAGTGGCCGGCGTTGCTCGGATGCCGGGTTGCCTGCACCGTCGCTAGGTTGGTTGTGCAGTTAACTAACCCGAATTTGCTCTTTTGGGGAGATATTTAAACTCTGATAGCGTAGTGCCTAAGGCACTTGACTGCTAGCCAGAGGCTGGCGGTTCAAACCCACCAGCCACTCCTCGGAAGGAAGATGGGGCAATCTACTTCCGTAGTGATACCGCCTGGGAAAGCCAAGGAGGAGGGGTCGCTATGAGTTGATCCGACTCGAGGGCACATAACAACAACAAATTCCCGCCCAGGTCTCCCTGGGAATAATCAGAGGAGGCTGGCGCGGGCTGGGTTTTCTTCTTAGAACTTGTAGCACTCCAGATTCTTCCGAACTCTGTGGGTGTAGGGGGGTCCGAGCAAAGCACACTTCGGTTATAAAGGTGAAAGTGACAACAAAACAAAAGCAAAGGCCGGTCTGTCTTTCACTCTGAGATGCACGATTACGCTTCTCATCCTTGCAAGTTACCCACGGAGTAAATTTTTTTCATTTCTCAGGCAAAACCAGTGAATTCGTTACAAACAGCACCGCGCGGAACACATTGGTTTTGTCATTTTTTGCTTTTTACAAAGTTCTGGGGAGTAATAATGTGCCATTGACTCAACAAATCAGAAACTGAGGACAAACAACATGATAGGCACACCGGGGTGTAGCGGTCCCGGCCAGTTTTAGAAATGAGGGCCTGGACTCTTGCTTTGCGGAGATTGAAATACACGCCAAAGTGGAGTGGATCCTTTCACCAGTTGCTTGCAAATTCGGAATGTCTATTCGAAAATTTCCTGATGAATTAATGATGAAATGGTTGGGTTTTGGTATTTGTTTTTTCCTCCCAGTCACTCCTTTTTACTTTCCAACCGGGAGTTTCTTTTGACTCAATGTTAATTTTAAGAATCACCAGAGTCCCTCGTTGTTAGCCAAGTGATAACGTGATATTTAGGAAGTGGTGATATTGCTAAATAACTCCAGTGTTTGGGCACCAGCCTCTAAGATGAGCTCCTTCCCAAGCTGAGACTATTGCAAAAGGGAGAGAAGTGAGTTTGTTTTCTGTCTGGTTTTTTCTATTTCCCTGGACCTCTCTCCCCTTTGCAATAGTCCCAGTTTGAGTAGGAGCTCTTCTTAGAGGCTGGAACCAAAACACCAGAGTTATTTAGTAATACTCCCCTATCATGGTCCAAAGGAGGTCTGGTGGTGCAGTGGTTAAAAGCATTCAGCTACTAACCAAAAGGCCGGTCCCACCAGCCGCTCTGTAGGAAAAGATGAGGCAGTCTGCTTCCCTAAAGATTTACAGCCTTGGAAACCCTATGGGCATTCTATACTGTCCTTAGGGTCACTAAGAGTTGGGCTCCACACAATGGCAGTGGGTTAACCTGGTCCAGTCTATTGCATTAAGATCTTCATTCATTTTTTGTGTGTGTGACCCGGACACGCATCGAGGCCATCTCTGCCAGCATTCAGTCCATTACTCATTTCTTTTTTTCTTTTCTTTTTTTTAAAACAACTGTTCTCAGCAGTTGTGCTTGTTTGTAAAATCATTATCAGACATCACCGTTTACCCAGCTTCACAGCCCCTCTCAACATTCTTCCTTCTGCTCATTTTCACTTCTCGCTTCCTCAGTGGACATAGAGGTGGTCAGGGTGGGAATGTTCATAGTCGAATGTTTTTTTCCTTACTTAAAATGACATGTTTAAAGAAACTGAGACAGACTTTTGGGTAGTTTATGGGTGACCAAACAAATGTCCACCCACTTTTATTACTCCCCAGTCGTGACATTATTCCACATTTTCACTTCATACAACTCATTCCTAGATGAAACTATTCCAAACTGTCTGAGGCACTTCTTCCTTTATATTCCTGGTTGCACTGAATGAATTTTTTTTTTTTTTTAATTATTCCTGCTCCATCATGGGATGCTTAGTCCCACATCTTGTGCTTCTATCCTGGTTTCTCAGACAGGGAATATCCAGGCCCTGACTAGATGTGGCTATGCTGATTAAAAAAAGGTATCCACCCTGAGCCAGGCTCTGCCGTCAAACTTTGCTCATAACCTGGCCACTTACGTGTCTTCCGGGAACCTTCACCTTAACATCTTCAGAGAGCTTTTCCTGCAGCCTGACAACTCCCAGGATGGCAGAGGAGCTGAGAAAGGTGGTTGGCCTCTCAAGAATCCCACCTTTCCTCAGCTGCAGATGAGAGGCCTGCTGACTGTTGGTTCACCCTGTTGCTAGTTTATGCCAAGAGCATAAGGTTTAGGCATAAGCAAGGATGCGAGTTTCCCATAGATAACTTGGGGACTGGGATGAAGGATTGCAGTTTGACCCTATTTTGCCATGTCTGTTAAAACTGTGACATCTCTCTTCTTTTTCTCTGAGCAGAAATTAGCCTATTACTCCAAAATGCAAGAAGCTCAGGAGTGCAACACCAGCCCTAGCAGCAGCGGCAGCGGCAGCGGCAGCTCCTCATTTTCCAGCCAAACTCCGGCCAGTATAAAAGAGGAGGAAGGCAGCCCGGAGAAGGAGCACCCACCAGAGGCGGAATACATCAACTCCCGCTGTGTCCTGTTCACCTATTTCCAGGGGGACATCAGCTCCGTGGTGGACGAGCACTTCAGCAGGGCCCTGAGCCAACCTAGCAGCTACTCCCCCAGCTGTACCAACAGTAAAGCACCGAGGAGCTCTGGGCCCTGGCGGGGTGAGTATGTGGTCCTAAAAGCAAGGATGGCTGGAGAGTCCTCTCAGCCTGGGGTCCACCCACAAAGGCCAAAGAGTTGTAGACGAAAGAATACTAGGTATCAGAAAAGAGTAGGGAGGGGCATTTGGAGAGGCTAAGAAAATAAAGGAGAAAAGGGCATGAGCAGATGATCTCTTCTTGAAGACCAGAGCACAGTAGTGACCTAGAAAAACCACTAGGCTTGGAATTTGGTGGCCTGGGCTTGCTGGTTGGCTGCACCACTTGCTCACAATTTGACCTTGGGCAAGTCTCTTAAAATCGTTGACATTATTCTATTTACTTTTATCTAAAATTAGAATAATACTTGACCTCTTAACTACTCCCAGAGGTTGGTGTAAGAGCGAAATTTACCATTATAGGTACATGTGCTGTAGAAATGGAAGTCTTACGATGTCCTTTGAAAACTAGGGGAAAAAAAATCTTTACCTCCAGCAACTTATAAGATACCTCCTTAGTTTCTAGAATTTTGCCTGGAGGAAAAACTCCTAGACGCCACTGCAAGCAGAGCCTGCTAGAGAATGTCTCCTGAAACCCACCTATGCCGTCTGTCATGTTCCAATTACTTGGGAAACCTTGAAGCAGAAAATGTCTTTTAATAAAGCATTTGGAGTAGCAAAGAAACAAAAAAATTAAGTAGAGCAAACCATTTCTAAGACAAAACACACACCCTCTTTATTTTTTCTACCTCTCTCCATAAATTGTGGGGTGCTGATGTCTTAGACAAGTCAACACTCTTCCACCTACTTGGAAGCCAAATCGCATCCTCCCTTTATTACCAAGATAACGGGAATAGGCAGTGTTTGGTAAATTTCCTCACCTAATTTAGAGTTTTTGATATGTACTAAGCAAAGAAACTCAGAAGGAAAGTTGGGCCATCTACTTCGGTAGTGATACTGCCTCAGAAAGCCAAGGAGGGGTCGCTATGAGTCGAACCAAAGAAATGAATAATTTTGCTTTAAGAAACAAAACAAATATTACATTTGGGGTGGGGACAGGGGATAAATATCCTCATTAGACCCCTTTTTCTTTAGAGATTCTGGCAGTTGAATCTGCCTTGAATTCTGGCCTTGAATAGATATAACTCCAAAATTGGTAGTTTTAATACAGGACATTCTCTTTGTTCTGCAGTTGCCTAAATATATTTAACCAAAAGCCTATTCATTTTTTAAAGCATGTTTAATTCTGTAGTATGTGGTGGGCAATGGTTAAAGCCTTTTGCTGCTAACCAAAAGGTGGGGAGTTCCAAACCACTGCTCTGGGGGGTGGGGATGAGGCATTCCCCTCCTGTTTTACAGCTTTGGAAACACTGTGGGCAGTTTTATTTTGCTCTGTTCTATAGAGTCCATAAGAGTCTGAATCCAGTCGATGGCACTGGGTTTGGTTTGGTTTTGTTAGTATATGTTGTGGACGCCTTCCCTATAGTAGATGCTCAATAAAGGTGCCTAAAATTAAATGTCTTTCTCTCACCACCAAAGGCAA